TTTAATTTAATGTGGTCTCGGGGCTGGAATGCATCCAAGAACCTGGCAGACATAAACATAAAACCTCTCTGGGGCAGAGCCAACATAAGCTTCAAAATATTTCCACTGATAAAGTTCCAAAGAACAGGGGCCCAGAGTCAAAAATCACAAAACATACCAAATCACCTTGGATGAGAGGCAGCAAAGATGATATACATCATAGTCATATTTCAGAATACAAAAGATAGAAGATCTCAAGACGAGCCAGAAAGGAGGTCAACTCACTTATGAAGCAGTATCACACTACAGTTTGGTGTATAGTACATAAGAAAATAAGGTATAAGTGGCAAATGTAGTAGCTAAGAGCATGAGCTCTGAAGCCACGTTGATTGGTAGTTCTATCATTTGTAAGTACATTTCGGCAAGTACTTTTTCTCTATGACTTACTTTTTTCATCTATAAAATCCAATTAATGACATTTTCAGTTTCTTGTATTTCATGAAAAATGTACACATATTTCCTAGAAAAGTACCTAGCATTAATAAATTGTTGCTATTTTTTAAAGTTTATTTATTTATTTTAATAGAGAGCACAAGTGGGAGAGGGGCAGAGAGAGAGGGAGGGAGAGAATCTCAAGCAGCCTACGTGCTGTCAGTGCAGAGCCTGATTCGGGGCTCAAACTCACGAACTGTGAGATCATAACCTGAGCTGAAACCAAGAGTTAGACACTTAAACAACTGAGCCATGCAGGTACCCTGGTAGCTGTTATTAAAGGAATTGGACAGATGACTTCTCTTTAGCAACAACAAAAAGCAGAAGATAGTCAACCTAGCTATCAATCTAGAACTCCTGATTTACCCATATATTTATCTACTTCTTTGTTCACTATTCCTTCTTGCATTTCAGAGTGTCCATCTGTTGTCATTTTTTCTTTTGCCAAAGATAAAATCTTTAAGTTTCCTTTTGTGAGTGTTTATTGCTTATTAACTGCTTAAGTGTAAATAATATATGAAAATCACAGCACAGTATGAACACCACAGTGGAACTCACCAGGTTTCAACAGGCTAAAAGTCTAACTATCTCAAATGCTTCCAAGGAGGTAGATACATGGATGTTCTCATACACTGATGTCAGGCGGCTGAATGGGTAAAGCTAATTTGGAGGAGAGTTGGGTATTACATAGAATGGTTGATCATGAATACATTCCTAAGAATATTATCTAGACAAGCTTTGACATGTGTGCACTGAATGACACATATGAGAGTATTTGTAGGAGTGTTGTTCTTGATAGCTAAAATCTGACGTTAATCTAACTTTCCATTAACAGAAGTATGGATAATTCAATGTTACATTCATACCAGAAACAGTGTCATGATTGAAGTTCAAAAAGATAAAGCTGAATGGAAAAAAATAGTTACTAGATTATTCCATTGGTACAAAGTACAAAAACATGCAAAACTAAATACAGTTGACCCTTGAACAATGTTGAGTATTGAGGGTGCTGACTTCTCACACAGCTGAAAATCCATGTGTAACTTTTGACTCCCTCAAAACTTTACTGACAGCCCACTGTTGGCCAGAGGTCTTACTGATAAAATGAAACAGTTGATTAATACATATTTTGTACATTACATGTATCACATACTATATTCTCACAATAAAGTAAGCCAGAGAAAAGAAAATCTTATTAAGAAAATTGTAAGGAAGAGAATATACACTTATGGTATGGTACTGTACTATATATAGAAAAAAAATCTGCATATAAGTGGACCCATGGGATTCAAACCTGTGTTGTTCAAAAATCGACTGTAACATCTTGCTTGGAGATACATTTATAAATGTAATATGTAAAAGAGTTATTACACAAAATTCAGAATAATGATTACCTTCAAGATCAAGGGTACATAAATATGTGTGGAGGTACTAATAAGATTCTATTTCTTAGGCTAGGTAGGGAGTAAGAACAGAGGCAACAATCTTCTTTAATTCAAACATTTTTATTTGTGTGAAAGATCTTGTGAATAAAGAAAGTGTCATGCTTAGTTTTAAGAAAATTGATTCACATCAGACTCTAAGCACCAATCACACAAAGCTAATAGGAAATTCAGTCTTGGCCATTATAAGGGTTCTCCAATTTGAGAGTTATACAAGAGTTTCTTTTTCCCTAACTTGAGTGTTATGCAAAGGTCCTGATGTTCTACATGAGCGAACCAGGCCCCTCTGGTCCACTGACCCAGACTGTAGCTTCCTTTTATGTCACATGGGCACTGCTACATCCTACTCTACACTTGGAATGCAGGAATCTTTGGGGACAAGAGCAGGGGAGCAGGAGGCCAGGGATCCCTGGGCTTAGAATTTAGTCTCCTCACGGGCATCTGGGTGACTCATTCGGTTAAGCATCTGACTCTTGATTTTGGCTCAGGTCATGATCTCATCGTTTGTGGGTTCGAGCCCCGTGTCCCACTATCTGCTCGAGATCCTCTTTCTCTCTCTCCCTCTGTCCCTCTGCACCTCCTCTGCTCGTGCTCTCACTCTCTCTCAAAAATAAATAAACTTAAAAACACCTTAGCTTCCTCAGAACATCATACAGCTAACCCTGCTGAGACATTTCCAGCTCCCATGTAAACTAGCCTCCATTCTAAGCTGTGTACCTTTGAACTCTCTGTGAATGCTTATGTCAATGCCATACTCTTTATTTACTAGAGCTTTAAATACGCAGTAATGTTTTTTTTAACAAGGTCTCTTTCATTATAATTCTTGTGGCTTTTATTAGTACTAAGTAGCTGCCTCTATCTACATGGGGACAGAATGTTTCAGAGGAAGGATCTTTTATCCCCATATCCCCTGCATTACCCCCTCCCCACCTTACCCCCATTCTCCCTGGACAGGGTCTCTATTTGGAAGCTCTTTTCCAGGAAGAAAGAAAAATGAATTCTCCCTTGTCAATCTCCACTCCCAACCTGGTTTTGGCCAGTTTGATATTATCTCTGCTTCAGAATAAATTGCAAGTCATCCTAATTAAATCCAAAACAGAAAATTGGTCATTTAAAATAGTTATGAAATATAATGGCATTTGTTCTTAGGTCTTCACTGAAACAACATGGTGTCAGTATCATAATTCCACTAAAGTTGACACAACAAAAATCCTTTCTCCCAGTTGAACAATTTACGCACTTGCTTGAGGGGATATCTAATCTCTCAAACAAAAAGGAACTGTATTTAAAACCTCAGGACATTCTTCGCTTTCACTTTGGTAAATAAAAAGTTTTATTTTGTTTTCTTCCTAGAGGACAACATTCTTTACCAGATGAGATGCTTCACCCTGACTAGAGAAAGGAAAACTCTTGGAAAAAGAAAATGTAAGTCATTAAGCATACGCTCGCTCGCTCTCTCTCTCATACACACACAGAAACATACACACACACGCACATGCACACACATGCACACCCACCATAGATTCAAAGACATGAAGAGCTCACAACCCCTCCATGAACATTCATCCCAAGGACCTTGGGTGCTCTGTTACCACAGCTTGATCTGAGCTAGCTTAACCTTGGAGAGTTGTTGAGATTTCTAATCACCCTTTGAAAATCCCTATGACTTTACAACATAAACTCCTCTTTTAGCGTTCATCCTTCTTCCACCAGCACATCATCCCCTCACCCTCCTCAGCTGCTGGGGCTGCTGCGTAGGTACTGGCCACGCTGGGCTTGGATGTCTGACTGGCTGGCAGTTCTTTTCCACTTCACTTGCAATGCAGAATATGTGGCTTCTGCAAATCCCATTTTGATCTTCTTCCAGCTGAAATTTCAGTGGGTTTAACCCTACTGCAGGTGTAGACTCTTATCATCCTCATTCCATCAAAGCAATGCCTTCTTTGGTCTAGTAAACTAGAGGGGGTGTGTAATCTGAGTAGGTCTGATCAAGAGTAAGCCCTATGACTTTTGTTAAGTGCTTTGAGCAGGAGATACCCTGTTTCTTCTCCTGGACATAATAAGTAAGGAAACATAATAAGTAGCCTCAGGCTGCTTGCAATCAGCTTATCCCATGAGGTGATTCAGCCATGAGACCAAGCTGATAACTGTGGAAGAAGGCTCACAGAAGCCCCAGGTGAATAGGCCTGAAGTCCAGCTTCTTTTTGGATATTACAGTTATATGAGATAGTGATTGTTTAAGCCACTTAGAGTTGGGTTTTCTGTTACATATGACTAAAAAATATCCTGATATACCAAATCATCTCTCACCCCAGGAAGTGACTCCATTCATTCCAACAGGGGTCCCCCCTCTCCCATGGCAGGGTTGGGTGGGCCTCCCTCAGGGGCCCAAATCCAAGTCTAGCCATTTCCTGCTTTCCTTTATTTCCTTCTTTAAAAAAAAAAAAGTTTATTTACTTATTTATTTTGAGAGAGCAAAAGAGAGTGCAAGTGAGGGAGGGGCACAGAGAAAGAGAGAGAGAGAGAATTCCAGAGAGAAAGAGAGAGAGAGAGAGAGAGAATTCCAAGTTGGCTCCTCACTGCCAGTGCAGAGCCAGACATGGGACTCAAACTTACCAAATGTGAGATCATGACCTGAGCCAAGATCAAGAGACAGACACTTACCTGACTGAACCATCCAGGCACCCCCCTGCTTTCCTTACTTCTGTCAGTATTCAGTGCCCATTTCTGGTGGCCTTTCTTTTCTGTCTTATTTCTTTTTTAATGTATTTTTTCAATTTTTTAATGTTTATTTTTGAGAGAGAGAAAGATCTCAAGCAGGGGAGGGGCAGAGATAGAGGGAGAGAGAGAATCCCAAGGAGGCTCTATGCTGACAGCTCCATGCTGTCAGCACAGATAAATGTGGGGCTTGAACCCATGAATCCCGAAATCATGACCTCAGCCGAAGTCATCGCTCAATTGACTGAGCCACACAGGTGCCCCTCTGTCTTTTTTCTTAAAAAACAAACAAAAAAACAAACAAACAAAACCCACAGAATTGATTTGAATTTTTTAATTTAATTTTAACTTAATTTTTATTTCAGCAATACACATTTACAAGTTAGATGATTAATTCATAAAAGGAAAAGAGAAATCTCCACCCTTTTTCCCCCCCCCACTCCAAACTCCCCAGAGACCATCCTTGTCTATTCATTGTTTCTTCTGGGTTGTAGCCCCTATTGCTAAATAACATTGTTACACAGTTTTTATCATCCTTTACCTCTAGTTATTATGCATTTTCTGTGATGGAAGATGGGAACCTAGATTTCTTACACCCCTCCCCTGTATACATATCTTCTTTCATTTCCTAAAAAAAGTTATATCACAATATTTTGTTATTTACATTATACTGTGTAAACATGATTCACAGCTGAGCCATGTAGTGTAGTATGATTACATTTCCTTTCTTAAACAGCAGTTTCTTTTTCCTAGCTTTCAATGACTGCAGTGTCTTTTCCCTTGCTTACTTTTCTATGTACTTTCACGAGTTCATCCCAAATTCTTCTAGAAAAATATAAATCTCTCCAAATTGATTGTTCAAATCAATTAGTTTCTTGTTGTTCTGTTACCACCACCATCCTGTGTTGCTCACCTTTCTCCTGTACTGGATTCCTTGTTTCCTGGATGTCATGTTTTTCTTTATCTTAGCTTAATCACTTATTTTGGAGGGCACATCCACACGGTAGGTTTCTGGTAAAAAGTGCAAGGGTAATAAGAGTGTTGAGATCTTTCATACTGAAATTGTCTCTATCTATTTTTTGATTTATTTGTTGGTATTTTTCATGTTTGGACCTTCCTCCCCTGCCCACGTGTAGTGGTCATAGACTGTTCATAATTAAGAGTAAGGCATTACCAGGTTGACTAGACACTCTCTGAATAGATTAGTTGCAGTGTGGGCTTCCCTGTCAGGTAGGTAATAAGGCAGATGCTGGCTCTTGTGTTGGAGAATCCTCAACAGTCTGTATCTGTTAGTCTTTTTCTTGGGTTTCCCCATAGGAGAATTCTCTAGTCTACTGTTTTGACAGGGTATTATTCTGTCAGCATTTTGACAGCAGAGTAAGGGAGGGGTTCTGGGACTCTCATTTATAATACAGACATTCACATCTTCCCCGACTTTAGAACACCACCTCCCTCTCACACTCCATTCTGCCTGGGGTCAACACCTCCAAAAAAAAAAAAAAAATCTCATGAGAGTGAGGAGGGGTAGGTGCCTGGTGGGGGAACGGAACTCTTAGATTTTCAACCACTCTGCCTGAAGGTTTGTAGGAAGAGCAGTAGAGTAAGCACCCGGCCAACCATTCTGCATGGAGATTTTTTAAACTCTTACAAGCTGTGTGAACTTGAACAAGTTTGTTGATTTCTCCGAGCTTCCATTTCTTCATTCATAGAGTGGAAACACATGGCTTTAGTGTGAGGGTTAAATGGGGTTCCTGAATATCAAGTGCCTGGCACAAGTCTGCCCAACATGGAGAGGGCATTCAATTGTTGGTGGTACAAAGATCTGGGAGGTAGTAGTTGGTAGTCTCCCTAGCTTTGTTTCAGTGGACAGAAGGGACCCCTTCCCACTATCTAGTTATTTTCTATACTTCCTCAAAAGGAAAGCCACCCTACTCATATTCTGCCAAAATATTAATAGAACCTCAGGGGTACAACAACCTTTACAACTTACCCTTTACCACACCCTCTCTTTCAGTGCCCAAACAAACCCTTAGAGCCACCTCCTCCATTCTGGCTTCCATACCAACGGATTAATGTGCAGGACTTAGAACTGCAGTGGAGTCAGTCCAAACTGAAATCCCACAAGTAAAATTGACCCCCTTTTCTCTGCTATTTCACATGTAATACCTCCACCCACTTGGGTAATGCCCCAGTTCCTCCTCCTAGGCTTCCTATCCTTTCTAGCCCCTTGGCAAGAAGGAGGCAAAGGGAGCCTTCTTGCATTCAGTGTGCTAGAGCCTCTCCCCCAGTGCAAAATAAAATTTGTCTTTCTCCCTACTTCTTACCAGCTCTTTCTTTCCCTAGTCCTTCTCTCCCTTTTACTCTCACTGTTCTTTTTTGGGACCCTGACTCTGCCTTGTTAAAGGGCAGCCTCTTCACAGTCAGTCTTTTCACCGAATAATTAGGATGCTTTTCTTATCTGCTCTGGAACCTGGCTATATCATAGGGGATTGAAGATGGAAGAGGAGCTGGAGAAGCTGAGGAAGTTGAGGTTGTCTTAAAGTTAATTTAGAATGGCTGGTGGAATGGAGGTCTGGTACAAAATCTGATGAAAAGAAGCACCCACGGTGCTCAGCATTTCTTCCTGGTCTAACATTTTAGGTTGCAAGACTATTAGAGATTTTGCCTGCTACATTCTCATTTAGACTCAACCACTAAAAACACACCTAATAAAATATTTGAAGTAGGACTTATTGACAGCAGTCATGGTCAATTAAATGTCAGGAATGATCTTTGTTGGAAATAATGTAAATACATGGTCATTTTGGACGAAGTGTGAATGAAAGTGGACACAAGGATACAAGAACAGGCCTTACCTAATAATCCCTTAAACTTGTGTTTCCTTTTTCAACCACATGCAGACAGGAATGCTGCACTTTGTCCTCCACGGGTGGTCTTTTCTGAGTGCAGACCTTAGTCTGTCCTTAAAATTTTCCCCAGCAAAATAATAGAGGAAAGGATTGAGGCAGCTATTGGCTGCTGCTAAGGTCAGTGTGATGACCACAGCTTTATGCAGATTGTCTCTGCATGTATCCACTTTCCACATGATCAGGTGGAGGGTTCTCAGTATGTGATAGGGCAGGAAACATAGAAGGAAGATGATCAAGGCAATGATGATGGTGATAAGTGCTTTCTTGTGAGAAACTCGCAGCCCAGATTCTGGGACCTCTACCTTTAACAGGGCTCGAATGATCAGCAGGTAACATATGCTGAGCATGCAGAATGGCAGCAGGAAGCCTATTACCAAGGCAATGTAGTTCATGGTCTTCAGTTTAACAATTTTACTGATATTCAGCTCTAAGCATAATGTGATATTCCCCTTCTGCTCAGAGCCATTTTTCAGAAGCACTATTGAAGAAGTCATGATAAGGAACCATATGATCCCACACAGAATCCAGGCACTCCTGATGCTAGTCACATGGAGGAGCCGGAAGGGATGAACAGTTGCCAGGAAACGCACAATGCTCAGCACGGTCAGGAAATAAATGCTGCTGTACATGTTGACATACATAGAATAAGACATAATCCTGCAGGTCAGGTCCCCAAATATCCAATTGGAGCCTCTGATGTAATAGTCAACTCTGAAGGGCAGTGTACTTATGTATAAGAAATCTGAAATGGCCAGGTTTAGCATGAAAACATTCACAGGTGTGGACTTCTTATAAGGCTGCAGGAAAACATATATGGAAAAACCATTTCCCAAGGTTCCCCAGACAAATATTATTAGGTACACAATGGGGTAAAAATCCCTCTTGAAGTTTTCAATTGAACAGTCCCCATTGCTGTTGTTACTGCTGAAGGTGCCATTGAGTTCCATTTATGATATGGAGATGCACAGAGGCAAGGGCATAAGTTTTCTCTCCACGCTGGATTAAAAACAAACAGATACAAAAAGTTACTTCCTGCTCATTACTTACATCTTTCCAGGTTTTAATGAAACAGAGAAATACTAGCTTTCCTTTGAAGCTTGAGTCAAAAATATCAGTAAAGTCTTTACCATATGCTCCATTATATTTCATGATAAATTTCTAGAGTACAAAACAAACATTAATTTATTTTGTTGAAACTGAAGCCTCAAACTTGGGAGATGTTTGGTCCAGTGCTTATGTTGATACTGCAGTCCAAATCTACCAGACAGCAGGTGTCTCATCAAAATATATGGAAGACAAAAGGAAGTGGCATAACATTTTCAAGTGCTGAAAAACAAGTCTACCAAGCCAGAGATCTATATCCAGTAAAAATATCTTTCAAATATGAAGAAGTCAATACATTATCAGATGATGGAAAACTTAAAGAGAATTGTTGCCATAAGAACTATCCTAAAAGAATGACTAAAATAAGTTCTCATATCAGAAAGGAATCAATAAAAGAAGGAACCTAGGAACATCAGAAAGTAAGAACATGATAAGCAAAAATATGGGTAAATACAATAGGATTTTTTTCTTCTATTTTGGAGTCCAAGTTATGTTTGATGATTGAAACGAACATTGATGTGTTGAGCTTTGATGTAGGGGAATTTTTAAAGATAATTATAATTATATTATAAATGGGGAAAGGTGAAAGGACACAAAGGAAGTAAGGTTTCCACACTTCACGTGAGTTGGTAAAATGATGTTGCCAATAGACTGTGGTAAGTGATGTGTGTGTAATGTAATACCTAGAACACCCATTAAAAAGCCATACAAAGAGATAAGCTCAAAAACGCTAGAGATAAATTAAACCAGAATTCTGAAAAGTGTTTAAGTAACCAACAGGAAGATAGGAAAAAGAAAATAGAAAATACAAATAGAAAAAAATGGCTGACTTATCCCTAAAAAAATAAATAATTATAATAAATAGAAATAGTATAAATATACCAATTAAAATACAAATTGGCAGACTGGTATATCTATATCTATCTATATAGTTATATATAAATTATATGCTATATATAAGAAATTCACTTCAAATAACACTATTGGCAAGTTGAAAGTAAGAGGGTGAAAACATATGTCATGCAAACATATATCAAAGGAAATCAGGAGTGGCTCTTAATACCAGATAAAGAAAACTTTAGAACAGAGAAAATTATGAGAGGGAGATTTTATAATGACAAAAGAGTTTATCTACAAAAAAGACACACCAATTCTAAATGTGTATGCAGCTAACAATAGTTGCAAATACTGAATAGTGAAGCAAATAGTGAAGCAAAAACTGATAGAATTGAAAGGAAAAATTGACAAGTTCATAGTTATAGTTGATAATTTCAAATATCACTTTCTCAGTAAGTGAGAGAACAACTAGACAAAAGTGCATAAGAATACGGAAGAACTCAAACACAATATCAACCAACAGGAACCAATCGACATTTATAAAAACTCCATTCAACCACAGCAGAACACACATTCTTTTCAAGTGCCCACAGAACATATACCCAAATAAACCACATCCTGGGCCATAAAACAAACCTCAACAGATTAAAAAAAATTGAAGCCATACACAGTGTGCTCTGTAACTACAATGGAATCAAACTAGAAGTCAACAGCAGAAAGATAATAGAAAAGTCTCCAAATTCTTGGGCACTAACCAACACACTTCTAAATATTCCCTGGGTCGAAGAAGAAGTCTCAAGGGAAACCAAATAATATATTGAACTGAATAAAAATGCACATGTATCGTATCAAAATTTGTGGGGTATATCAAAAGAATTGCTAAGAGAGAACTGTATAACATTAAATGCACACATTACAAAATAGTTTTAAATCAATCACCTAAGCTCCCATCTCAAGAAGCTAAATTTTTTTGAATGAAATAAACCCAAATCAAGCAAAAGCGGGCAAGTAATAAAGGTAAAAGCAGAAAGCAAGGAAATTGAAAACAAAACAAAACAAAAATCAAGGAGAATAAATGAAAAAAAGAACTGGTTATTTGAAAAGAACAATACAATTGACAAACCTCTAGCAAGGCAGACAAAAGTAAAAAATAGAGCAGACACAAATTACCATTATCAAGAATGTGAAACAGGGGACATCATTATAGATACTGTGGACATCAAAAGATACTGTGGTATAATAAAGGAATACCATGAATACCTCTACACGTATAAATTTGATATCTTAAGGGAAATTGATTAATTCCTTAAAAAAAAACTACCCCAACTCACCAAATACAAAATGATAATTTGAACTACTGAGAAAATTAAATTCTTATTTTAAAGCTGTAAAAGGAATCTCCAAGTCCGGGTGGTATCACTGGAGTATTCTACCCAAATCTACCATATTTAAATAAGAATTAACACCACGTCCATGCAGTCTTTTCCAGAAAATAGAAAAGGAGGATAGATATCCCAATTTACTTTATGAAGCTAGTATTACTTTGATATCAAAACCAGACACAGTACAAAACAAAAGACTGCAGGCCAATATTCCTTATGAATATAGACACAAAATCTCTTAACAAAATATTAGCAAGTAAAATTTAGCAATATACAAAAAGAATTATATACCATGACCAAGTAGTGTTTATTTCATGCATTCAAGCCTGGTTCAATGTTTAAAAAATAGTAAGTGTAATTCATGTAAAGAGGCTAATGAGAAAAATCATGTGATCATATCAATCAATGCAGAAAAAGCATGTGAACAAAATCCTATACCAATTCATGATCAAAACTCTTAGAGGAATAGAGGAGAACTTCCTCAACTTGATAATTATCAACAAAAAACCCCGCATAGCTAACATAATTAAGGGTGAAAGACTGAATACCTTCTCCTTAAAATTGGGACCAATGCAAGGACGTCCATTCTTACTTCTCTTATTATACATAATGCTGTAAATTCTAGCTAGTGAAATAAGGCAAGAAAAAGAAATAAACATCTTACTGATCAGAAAGGAAGAAAGAAAAGACTCCCCATTTGCGACGTGATTGTTTACACAGAAAATCCCAAGGAATCTACACCAAAAAGTCCTAGAAGTGACAAGTAAATTCAACAAAGTCATAGGATACAACACATAAAAATCAATTATATTTTTATATACTAGCAATGAACATATGAACACATTGGAATAAAAAATACAGTACCATTTGCAATCATTCAAAAATAAGATGAAATACTTGTGTATATCTAACAAGACATTCCAGAATTTATATGCTGAAAACTACAAAATGCTGATGAAAGATATCAAAGTTCTAAGTAAATGAAGACACCTACCATGTTCATAGATTGGAAGGCTCAAAAGAATAAAGATGTCAGTCCTTCCCAAATTGATTTCTAGGATTAATGCAATTCCCAATAAAATTCCTGCAAGATTTTTTTGTTGTTGTTGAAATAAGATCATTCTAAAATTTATGTGGAAAGGGAAAGGAATCAGAAGTGCTCAAGACTGTGTGATATTGAAGGAATAGACACATAAATTAGTGGAACAAAACAGAGTACCTAAAAAAAGAGTTAAACAAATATGCTTAACTAATTTTTGACCAAGGGCAAAAGAGATTCAACAGAAGCAGGATGGTCTTTTTGCAGGTGCTGGAGCAAGTGGACATTCACAGGCAAAAGAACAAACCATGACCTAAACCACATATCTTACATAAAAATTAACTGAAATGGATCATGGACTAAGTATAAAATGTAAAACTATAACTTTTTTAGGGAAAAAATACATAGGATAAAATCTTTGGGATTTAAGGGTAGGCAGAGAGTTCTTGGACGTAACATCAAAAACATTATCCATGAAAGGAAGAATTGATAAGTTGGACTTCATCAAGATAGAAAACTTCTGCACGGCAAAAAAATTCTGTTAAGAGGATGAAAAGATGAGCTACAGACTAGGAGAGAATATTTGCAAACCACAGATTCTACAAAGGACCAGCGTCTACAATGTATAAAGAACTCTCAAAACACAATAGTAAAAACCAAACCAAACCAAACAAACAATCTGATTAGAAAATAGGCAAAAGACATGAAGAGATATTTCAGAAGGTGTGTAGATAAACATATAGGTACATAAAAAGTTATCCAGTAGCATTAGCCATTAAGGACATGCAAACTATAACTACAATGGGATAGAACTACTCATCTATTAGGATGGCTAAAATAAAAAATAGTGATAACCCCAAAACATTCTAGTTACCAATCAGACTTGTAAATGCCGTAAATTGTGACAATTGTTTCCTAAACTTCTAATACCCATTGTATAGTCTGTCTATTGTCTTGAGTGTTGTTTGCCCCTCAGAGGAAAAGTCTGTAAGGAAAAGATAAGGAAAAGCCCCACAAGTCCATCTTCCAGTTGTCCCAGGGACTGAGTGTTCAGAAGGACTGGCATTCTTTGGACAAATTTTGTTCTTTGGATAAACTTTGTGTAAGGTCATCATTTCAAAAATTGGAATGACTTCTCTTTTGTATCTTTGTGACCCTGAAATCTGCTTTGTTGTTTATTCAGCTCTAACGTGAGACAAATTTCTGCCCAAATTTCAGAGGCAAAAATGCGGACAAGCACCATCCTTACACCGCCACAGTTCTCCTAGGGTCCACTCAACTTCAGACTGCACATATCCCAGGGCCAAGAGGTTTCCTTCAGCTTGTCCTCCTTGTAAAGCACACGTGCAACTGCACAATATCACCAGGGACGATTCAGAATTGTAATGGCCACTTTGAGGAACTTTTGACATAAACAAGATTGTTTACTTGAAAGACACTCTAGAAACAGAAAGTGAGGCAACTTTCAAGAGGAAGTTATCTAAAAGAAAGATTCTTTTATTTAATGTTCGTGATACCCCTTTCTTTCCTTCCATTTGTTGGGGATTAATAAATGCTGGCTTTTTTTTTTAATCAGTCATTGACAAAATTGGCAAGGACTTAAGCCAATTTTCATGTATAAATTTCAAAGTATGCTTTTTGTTTTTTATTTTTTGTTTTAGATTTTATTTTTAAGTAATCTCTACACCCAACGTGGGGCTTGAACTCGCAGTCCTGAAGTCAAGAGTTGCATGCTCCTTTGACTAAGCCAGCCAGGCACCTCAGAAATTTGTTTTTCTATATACAACCTTTCTTCTCAGAGGGAACATAATTGTCTTTTTTTAGTGTTAATGTCGTATTCATCTAAAGGAGATTCCTCTTCCTTTTTTTTTTTTTTTCATTTTCTCTTTCTCATTTTCCTTCTCTTAAGAAATGAATGATTACCTGATCAAGAGTCCTTCACTCTTTATGTGCACATTCTAGGAATGTATAGTCCAGATAAACAGGTGAAATGTCTGAAATAAAAAAAGACAAAGTTATTAAGATGTATTTCAATTGTGGACCCTAAAAGTGTATTTACATAACAGCTTTTATTATTACATTTGTGAGAAAAGAAAGGGCATTACTTTCAAGTAAAAAGAAGATAACATTTTTAGCATGATTCAGAGTCTTTATAAAATTAGTTTAATATATAAAAACTAGTGTCAGTACAATATTTTGATTTGTACAAGGCCGGGGTTAAATTTCTTTTGATTAAACTGAATTTCCTACATTGTTTATGAGTTATTCCACTACTTCCATAACTTTTTCAAAATTTAAAATTATACATATAAAACTGTATTTAACTAAAATGAGCAATAACAATGAACGCCTTTTTAAAGGTTTAATTTTATGACATAGTAACTTTGGGACAAAGCATAAGAATTTAATGTTTTAACTAAAATTATAGTTTCCTAAAATTATGATTATAATTTATCATTATAATTATAAATCCTAACTAACTTTAAGCCCTTAGACAAATAGTTAATTAATAAATAATCTTTGGATGCCTAAACAGTTTCTAATTTGTAAATGCTTTTGAATTATACTTTTTCATTATGTTATACTTTAAAATTATTTAAATTGTATGACATAAAAGCTAGTAGACAGAAAAATATCTGAATTATTCTTTATATTCTCTCTGACTTTCCTTATGCTTGATGAAAAGGAAGGTTGATTATTTTGGTTAAAGATGATAATTAATATAAATAGTTAATACAGAGAAATATGAATATGTATAGAAGATAATGAATATGATTTTCTGTTTGTTTATTAAGAAAACTGAAATAGTTTATTCAGAGGGTAAATTTAATTTGATATACACTTTGTTTTATTTAATAGATTTAATTTTAAAGCTATAGTTCAATACTTTAAATTCATGCTATTTGTGTATTTATACATTTGTGAATGTCTAAATGCATGCATATGAGGGAATATTAATACATCCTTTATTATAGATTATTTTGTGAATAATGTACAAAAAACAAAATTAGGATTCGTCTTTTTAATATAAAATAATTAGGTTATTTATACTAATTAATAAAAATTTTTGTCAATAAAATATTCTGTTAAATTTCAGTGCTTCTGATATACTTTTCATTCATTTTTTAAAAGATTCCTTTCTTTCAAAGAAAAGTTAAGTTTCTAATAATTATTGTTGAGTATTTTTATGTTGCCTGTAATTATTTCTTGACTCTATGAGTTATATCTTCTCAAACAACTATTCCTTTTTCTTTCTTTCCCAAATTCAGCCCCAAATTTAGGATAAAGCTATTAAACCATCAAAGGCACATTGGGTTTTACTAAAATGGCCAAGGGGTAACACAAGATTTGTACTTTCATCCCATGAAAGGAAGAAAAAATGGGAATAATTAGATTTCTAAAAATCCTTTGAATTTTGATTAAATAAAACTATTATAGGAGTGTTTTTATTTACCAAGCTTAGTAATAAAAAAGCTCATAAATTACCAAAAAAGAGTTGATGTCCCTAAGTTCATTATACTTAGATAAAATATACTAATATAAATATCTTTCAGGGATTGCATACTTTTTAAATTAAAAGAAGCATGCTCATGTTTAAATACAAAATTTTCTACTAGACTTCTGGTGGAGTCTGTTGGGTTTTCCATGTAGAGTATCATCTCATCTGTGAAAAGTGAAAGTTTGACTTCATCTTTGCCAATTCTGATGCCTTTTATTTCCTTTTGTTGTCTGATGGCTGATGCTAGGACTTCCAACACTATGTTAAACCACAGTGGTGAGAGTGGACATCCCTCTCCTGTTCCTAGAACTGATCCATGAATTCAGCAAAGTTGCAGGGTACAAAATCAACATGCAGAAATCCGTTGCATTTTTAAACACCAATAATGAAGCAACAGAAAGAGAAATCAAGAAACTGATCCCATTCAAAATTGCACAAAAAACCATAAAATACCTCGGAATAAATCTAACCAAAGATGTAAAAGATCTGTATGATGAGAACTAAAGAAAACTTATGAAGGAAATTGAAAAAGATACAAAGAAATGGAAAAACATTCCATGCTCATGGATCAGAAGAATAAATATTGTTAAAATGTTAATACTACCCAAAACAATCTACACATTCAATGCAATTCCAATCAAAATTGCACCAGCATTCTTCTCAAAACTAGAACAAACTATCCTAAAATTTGTATGGAACCACAAAAGACCCCGAATAGCCTTAAAGCAATATGGAAGAAGAAAACCAAAATGGGAGGTATCACAATCCCAGACTTTAGCCTCTACTACAAAGCTGTCATCATCAAGACAGTATGGTTTTGGCACAAAAACAGACATGTAGACCAATGGAATAGAATAGAGAATTAAGAAATGGACCCACAAATATATGGCCAATTAATCTTTGACAGAGCAGGAAAGAGTATCCAGTGGAAAAAAGACAGCCTCTTTAACAGATGGTGCTGGGAGAACTGGACAACAACATGCAGAAGAATGAAACTAGACCACTTTCTTACACCATACACAAAAATAAACTCAAAATGGATGAAGGACCTGAATGTGAGACAGGAAACCATCAAAACCCTGGAGGAGAAAGCAGGAATCAACCTCCGCAACCTCAACTGCAGTAATTTCTTACTCGACACATCTCCAAAGGCAAGGGAATCAAGAGCAAAAATGAACTATAGATAGAGACCTCATCAAGATTAAAAGCTTCTGCACGGCAAAGGAAATAATCAATAAAACTAATAGGCAACCGATGGAATGGGAAAAGATAGTTGCAAATGACATATCAGATAAAGGGCTGGTATCAAAAATCTATAAGGAGCTCACCAAACTCCACACCCAAAAAACAAATAATCCAGTGAAGAGATGGGCAGAAGACATGAATAGACATTTCTCCAAAGAAGACATCCAGAAGGCCAATAGACACATGAAACGATGCTCAGCATCACTCATCATCAGGGAAATACAAATCAAAGCCACACTGAGATACCACCTCACGCCGGTCAGAGTGGCTAAAATGAGCAAATCAGGAGACTCTAGATGCTGGTGAGGATGTGGAGAAACAGGCACCTTCCTACACTGTTGGTGGGAATGTAAACTGGTGCAGCCCCTCTGGAAAACAGTGTGGAGGTTCCTCAAAAAATTAACAATAGAACTCAGCAGTAGTACTGCTAGGAATTTACCCAAGGGATACAGAAGTGCTGATGCATAGTGGCACATGTACCCCAATGTTCATAGCAGCACTTTCAGCAATAGCCAACTGACGAATAGATCAAGAAGGTGTGGTTTATCTATACAATGGAATACTACATGGCAATGAGAAAGAATGAAATCTAGCCATTTGTAGCTAGCCAATGGAACTTGAGGGTGTTATGCTAAGTGAAATAAGTCAGGGAGAGAAGGACAGATACCATATGTCTTCACTCATATGGGGAACAGGAGAAACTTAACAGAGGACCATGGGGGAGGGGAAAGGGAAAAAATAGTTAAGGAGAGGGAGGGAGGCAAACCATGAGAGACTCTTGAATGCTGAGAACAAACTGAGGGTTGATGGGGGTGGGGGAGAGGGGAAAAGGGGTGATGAGCATGGAGGAGGGCACTTGTTGGGATGAGCACTGGGTGTTATATGGAAACAAACTTGACAATAAACTATAATAAATAAACAAATAAATACAAAGATTTCTTTTTCCTTTTTTACCATGACAAATCTGAATAAGCACTACTAGACTTTCTGACTCAATTACATGGGAATCATCAGAGACCAATTGTTGATTTCAGTCTTTCATTATATCTCATTAAACCATCTTGTGTAAGAGCTATAGCAGTTCCAGCAAGGTTTATAGAAGCCTTAAGCCTCGGCCACTTAGTCAACTTAGTTCTATGATCTCCACTAAACTTTTAACAGTCCCCCTGTTTGTGGTGTCTGGCTGGCTCAGTCAGAAGAACATATGACTCTTGATCTCTGGGTCATGAGTTTGAGCCCCACATTAGTTGCTAAGACTATTAAAATAAATAAATAGTTTTCCTGTTATATATACTCTCCTATTGATAGAAATAACCTGGGACTTCTCAGCCAATCACATAACTTCCTATATAATTTTGCTGTTTTCCCTTAAAACATCACCATCTGTTGCTTTAACACTAAACCCAGCTACACTCCTTTCCTCATCTATAAAAAAAAAAAAAAAAAAATCCCATGATTCGTTACCTCATTAATGGAAGTATCCATACTTTGCAAGGACCTTCTAGATTCTCCCTTGGATATCCCTGGTTTAATTTTGTTTGTTGGTTCCACTTAGGAAGAAAAATTAAAATTTCCAAGCAGGCTATGCTATCACTGATCTGAATTTACCCTTGAAGTATAAGCTTTACTTTGAAATAAAATCAATTCAGATGACTAAATTAATTGCCTTTACCCAGACTTGCTGACAAAAGGGTAAAAGAACAAATATTTATACTTATACATAAAATATGATTTTGGATTCATCCATGAATTCAAAATATTTTTGAAATAGAGATTTCCTGACACTACAAGACTCCCTATAAAGTAGACAATGAATCAAAGAACCTTGAGATGCCTTGCTTTTACCCAAAGAGAAAGCCATAATAAAAGTAGAGTTTAGCAAGCCTGTTTCGTGATATTACCTACAATAACAGAGATAAACTGGCAATGATATTAACCAACACTGGCAGGAAATTTGAAGACTATTGCTAAGGATATTCCAATGCATGCTCTACCTGCCAACAACACAATTCTAGCAAGTCTGTAAAGGTAAAACATGGACAACAGCCTCAAGGCTCCTTTGAACATCCCCAGAAGGTCTGTGAATATGTTCTGGTTATTGTTTATTCTCAGCGTATGTTAAGGCTTTTCTTTGTTATAGGAAAAAAATGCTTAACTTGGGAATTGCAACTTGTCATTTCAGTAAGAGACACACATTTCACTGACATAGTCATCAAAGAACTGTAAAGCCTTACCTTTTACTTAGAAACATCACTGTCCTTATCCACGGAAAACAGGGAAAGTAACAACAACTAATGGAATTCTAAAACCCTCAAACTTCTAATGGTTGAAGGATTTCCATTGTCCTTGATTGCAGGCATTGAAATCAGCCCCATCTAGAACCAACAAAATATCTCCTCCTGAGTAGATAGCAAGCTGCCCTGTGCATTTGGGAATCACTCCCAAGCTTTGATCCTATCCTATTGTGATCTAATGTGATGACTATAGGAAAGCTGCATTTACAAAATGTTCTCCAAAGCAGTCTCTGTCTGATTGGAAACCTAGATATTCGGTTTTCTGGAACAGACCTCAGAGAAAAACCTCTCTTGATCCAGATGGAAAAAACCTTACTGCTATCTTTAACAACTGACATTGCATTAACATTGCAATATTTTAATTTTTGGACTCATGTCTCCCAACTAAAAAGACATTCAGAGCTTCCTTCCAACTACTGGAAGTCCATTCCTTTGAAAGACCTCAAAGTGAAGATTTTTAGAAATTCTCCAGAAGTTATTGACTTACAGAAGTGGGCAACTTCTGCCCAAAGCAGCGAAATAAACTATTGACTACAGAAGCAGATGGCTTTCACACAAGACAGAACAAAATTTTCTAATCCTTTAGCACCCTCTTCTTTTCCTTTACTAGTCATCTTGTTCATCGTTGTACTTTTGCCCTGTCTATTAACTAATATGATCTCCCTTATTTTCATCTTATGACCTATTATAGTCTTTGCCACTTAAGAGAAGACAAAATTCTCTGGGTTGTTTTTTCTTAGACCATAGCCACTGTTATGAATTTAACTGATTACTGACAAAATTTAATAACGAAAAACTAGCAAACAGGGGTGCCTGGGTGGCTCAGTCCATTAGGCTTCTGACTCCTGGTCTTGGCTCAGGTCATGATCTCACAGTTCGTGAGATGGAGCCCCACGTCAGTGTCTGTGTTGACAGTGCAGAGCCTGTTTGGGATTCTCTCTCTCTCTCTCTCTCTCTCTCCTTCTTTCTGTCTCCCCCTAGCTAATGTGAGCTCTTGTGGTGTGCACTTTTTCTCTCTCAAAATAAATAAATAGAATTTTTTAAAAAGCAACAAAAAACAAACAAACAAAAACTCTTCAAGAGGTCAATTTTCTTCTATATATCCCTTCTGATATTCAAGTTTCCCTTGCATAATTAACCCCCAATTTCAGGCTTATAAAATTGTACACCAGCCAAATATTAACAAAATATGTCTGCTGAGTTCCTTACAACTCTATCAGCAAAATCTAACACTTTTGGAGTAAGAACAAAACTTGGATCTAACCTGGATAGAATTGCTACTTTATTTTCTTTCATAACCCTCCAGCCTGCTGAGCAGGACTTGTCTGACTCCACTGAAGGAATCTGTCCACCCCAAGTGACTTGCCATCACTCAAGTGATGCTCAAATAAAGAAAAAGACTCATTCCTGTTTTCATAAATGATTCTTACATTCCCAGTACCACCAAGTTTACTTCTTATGTGGACATCAGGCTTACACCCACCTGGCACACACTGCCCTGTGTATTCAAAATGATCATTAGAGAATGTCAGATGATGAAAACTACCACCCCTCTAGGAATCATGTTTCCCTAAACAGAACACAGAGACATCTGAAAGAGGCAGCCACAGGCTTACTGAGAGAACTGTCAGGAGAAATTACCGAGTCCCTGGCACACATACTGTGCAAGCAACAACTATTAGAGTTGGAATAATCCAACTGGAAAGAATCACTCATAACTTGTCTCTGACCTTGGTAAGAATCTTAAAGTGTCCAACTTCTGCTCTGGAAGCTAAAAAGACTCTCTCCTTGATCAAACTCTAACCAGGCTCTTCTGAGCCCTCTTCTTGACTCGGCTTCTACTTTGATCTGTAAGGACTTGAATAAAGGACTAACAGGTTTTTTTCTAAGAGCGCAAGGCCATATCTCTAGGATGACCATAACCTGCCCTTCTTATAGAGCCTGAAAAAACTCAAGGATGTCAAAAGAATTTACCATTTGTTCCAGCCAACCTGAAGACAGGGCTCCTGTCCCTCAGCCTCTGTGGGAGGCTAGAATCCTAAACTTTGTGTCAGCACACCCAGATGCAGTTCCCATTTTTTGCAATTTTCTACTTCCCTAACTCTGCTGAGCTCCTGTTTACCCCCTGTCTATTTTTTCATTCTTCCTTAAAAACATCCACTCATCTCTATAAAAACTGAAGTTGAGTTCAGTTCATGTTGGAGTCTTTTCTCTATTGGAACAGTATAAAATCTATCCTTTAACTAGTGTCTGGCCTTGCTTCATATTTGACAAATCCTAGGTTTAAATGTAAATTCATGAGGCAGAGTTGTCACAGATAATGACATAGTCCTTAATTTCTTCTTAACTAGCCAAAAAGAAATTTATGCCATAGTAAACACACTTATTATACACCTATAAATATCACATAACAGCCTATGACTGGAGGTGTGAGTGGAGAAAAGCTTCCTGGATGGCTAGAAAAGAACAGGTGGATTTTGCAAGGGGAGGGGCAATCATGTTTTCATTGTCTGAGTATGATAGTATGAGTTTCTGTTTTTCAGAGTCTGTTATAAGAACTAATAACCATTTTTGTTCCTACAAAGTCTGCTTCCTTGAATCTTACCCCCAAATTATCTAATGCAGCATAAATCCTATTGTATTTCCTAACATCCTCTTTCTAAGATTCCCCAGTTTCCCTTTATGTGAATTCTCCTTTAACACAACAAGACAATAAACCCAACTTTGTTCAACTATAGGTGTGTTCTGGGGGCGCCTGGGTAGGCTCAGTCTGTTAAGCATCCGACTTCGGCTCAGGTCATGATCTCATGGTTCATGGGTTCGAGCCCCGCATCGGGCTCTGTGCTGACAGCTCAGAACCTAGAGCATGTTTCCAATTCTGTGTCTCCCCCTCTCTCTGGCCCTCCCCTACTCATGCTGTCTCTCTCTCAGAAATAAATTTAAAAACAAAACATTAAAATTAAAAAAAAAACTATAGGTGTGTTTCCAATTGCCTTTTACTTGAAGACACTGACTCTGAGAATCCACATGATGATCTAAAGGTATGGCAAAACAGTAGTTAAATGAACATACCCAAAGAGCTGGTATGTAGACTTCTGATGCAGCAAGGATGTTTTTCAATTCTCCTTCAGACACTTATATGAATGTGTAACTCAGAAAACATGGTTGGCATGTAAATGATGTTGAAAAAAGAAAAGCTTTTTTTCTTTAATTCAGCACTTCCCAAAGTATCTTCTACAGAATATGAATTCCATGAGATGTTCTGTAAAAGACAAGGCTTCCATGTTTAAATCAGCTAGAGAAACACTGTGAGCTCTAATATTCCTCTTTTGGAGACCCATAATGCAGTTAAAGGTTCTATGGGGTCCGAAAGAAAGAAAGAAAGAAAGAAAGAAAGAAAGAAAGAAAGAAAGAAAGAAAGAGAGAAAGAGAGAAGGAAGGAAGGAAGGAAGGAAGGAAGGAAGGAAGGAAGGAAGGAGAGAGAAAGGGAGAGAAGGGAGGGAGGAATAGAGGGAGGGAGGAATGGAGGGAGGGAGCGAGGGAGGGAGGGAGGGAGGACCTCTTCTTACAAGAATAAGTCTTTCAGCTTAGTGCTCATCTTAATCCACTGTGACTTCATCTTAACTAATTACATCTACAAAGATCCTATTTCCAAATAAGGTCACATTTACAGGTACTTGGATATATTTTTGGGAGGAGGGCATAATTCAACCAACAACAAGGATATGTAACATCAATTTCATGGGTTTGTTGTAAGCATTAAATGAGAGAGAGAGAGAGAGAGAGAGAAAGAGGAGGGGGAGCATGAGCTTCATAGACTACTTGGCACTGGGTAAGTGCTCCCCAGCTGCTTTACTGTCATGAATGAATGTAGGAATGACCTAGCTTCAACATCTGTTATCCCACTGATCATGAGGATGAGTTGATGACCTCAGTTCTCATGTTCATATGAAGTATAAAAAGTAGATTCTTGTTGGTATTTGCTAGAAAGGCATTCTGTACAGAAATACTGATAACTCTTAGATTATTCTGACATGTTTATGATGAAAATCTCTCAATTCCACTCCACTTCTTTGCTTTCAGTCTATTCCTACTAGGGAACCTTCTAATAACCCCTCTGTTTCATCAGTCCTCTTTGAAAGGATGGACTTTGAACTGTGAACTGGAAGATTACAATAAAGGGAAAGTAGAATCCCCCATTATAAATGGCCAAACCAGAATGACCAGAATTCTGGGTTAAAAATTATTTCTTTGTGAGTTTGCCTTGTGAAATTGATTTCCTAAGGTCTAAGAATAGACTGACAAGATGAGATTTTTCATATGCAGCACATCTTATTTCTGAGATGATAGTAGGGCCTTAGTTATGATTGCATGGATAATGGCTCTCTACTTTTGATCTGTTTCTAGCTTGGGTTATAGGAGAATGGTGAGGCCATGAGCTAGGATAAGGAGTACACACTCTAGAGTTAAGGAGACAGGTCAAGTCTATAGATACAGTTCAGGAAGACCATCCCACAGAGGCTGGAAGTCTGTAAGCCTGACTTGGGAGAGGGAATACAGCAAAATGAGGAACTGGAAATAGCGTCTTAATTCGATCTTATAGGGAATTAAAGTTTCTACTGGTTTGCAAGGCCAGGACAGGAGGATGAAACCTCAAATTAGGAAATGCTAGAGGTAGTACAGTCGACACAAATAAAGCCTTCAGGCAAGCCTTGGCAAGCCTTCATGGACACTGTCAGCTACAGTTGCTAAGAAAAGGCTCATCTCATAGGCAGAGCATGGAAGCCAGCAGGTACAACCACAGAAGTCATTTAAAAAGATAGTAATAAGTGTTCCACCAGGAAGATGAGAGGTTTGGGGAGACCAAATAAAATGCTAGCAACACGGACTCCTTGAGCAACTGGGGAGAAAGGCAGAATTCATGGGAAAGTCCATCTGTAAGCTGCAAGACCCTTTATAGCTAGGCCATAGTGCAAGGAGAGGGTTTGGGGACTGAGAGGAGGCCTGACCAGTGCAGGCAGGCCCTGAATCCTGGAGGCCCTGAGTCCTTGAGAGCCCTGGGTCCCAGAGGCCCTGGATTTTGGAGGCTTTGAGTCCTGGAGGCCCTAAGTCTGAAGACCCTGAGTCTTGAAGGTCTTGAGTCTTGGAGAGCCCAAGGGCTGAACAAAGCCTTGGACACAGAGACTCAGGCTAGGGATGCCAAGGCATGGCTCCATTTTCCCTAATGAGGTGGAGACCAAATTTCAGTGACAGGAGAAATGCCCAACTTTAGAGTCATGGCACAAAGTCAGGATCCGATCAACCCAAGGGTAACATGGAGTTCCAGAATTGCTTCCATTCCTCTGCCTGAGATTGGGATTGGTTCAGGACTTTGTAGGGACCTGAAGGGGAGTAGGAGTGGTCACTGGCTGGCAAATAGCCTCTGCTGCAGGGAGACAATAGCTACAGAAGCTGGAGCCTTAAGTCCAAGAGCATCTTAATCCCTGGAAAGCTAAAGAAAGAGAATACACTAATATCCTTCATAGAAGCCTCATTTAGCTAACAGCCACAGGCTTAATACAGGACCAGCTCAGATCCAAAATTCCATTTAGCTCAACACTTTCTCTTGAGAATCCTTTAAAACATTTTGATTGTTCTTTTCTGCCCATATATAACATACCTGACCACATCGTACTTCAACCTTTCGCTAGATTGTAAAAGAAGAAGGAGAAGGAGAAGGAGAAGGAGAAGGAGAAGGAGAAGGAGAAGGAGAAGAAGAAGAAGAAGAAGAAGAAGAAGAAGAAGAAGAAGAAGAAAGGAAAACAAAACAAAAAATGCCTGCTAAATGTGGCTGTAAAATCAGCCAGACCAATTAAGTACGTGACAGGAAGCTGAGAAATACATGAAAGGTAAATTCAAGGAAAATTAGGAAATAAATTGACAGCCTAATTTCCACCGCCTTGGCGAGAGTGGAGAAAGAGCTTGTGCACAGCTTCCTGTATTGAGAAAGGGCTCGGAACAAAGAATGAATTAGGGCTTTGTCTCCTGCAGCTTTACTGGTGATCCAGCAACAAAGAAGAAACAGTGAGAAGCAGCAGCAGATGGGGATTCCGTATTTCAATTATGAAGAAAACCAAATGTGTTGCATGACCAGATAAATCTGATGAGGATGAATAGCTTCTATTGATGCTTATAATGTTTTCATGGTCACAGCAAAGCTGCAACTGTCCAAAACACCACAGGAAGTATTTTCATTTATACTTAGAAAAATACACTTTATTTTAGAAATATATATTTTTGACACATTCACAAGGGATCATTAGACCCTGTCACAGAGTGCCGCCCCCCCCCCCCCCCAACTCCGGTCAGCACGACTGTGTGTCACAGGTGTGCTCACCTTCAGTTCTGCCACCTGGGCATGTGACCTGTCTCAGAACCTGAAGCCTGAGGCACTCAGACACACTGACGTAGATATACCCGGCAGAGCAGCAAGCGGTGCGAGTTGCACAACGGGATGCTGTGAGATTGTGATAAACTGCTAAAGAACAGAGAATCTTCTGGGGAATAAACGTCAGTGCAGTCGGCTTGCATCATCTTTACAAGGAACTCATGATGGGATTTTGAGCAACACATAATCTATCAGTATCATGTCAGGAGAGCTAGATCCGCCTGCCAGCAGCCTCCCAGATTGCCACTAGGTGACGTTCTGGGTCCTCTGTTTGGCCACTGTCTCTGGGACTTCTAACTCCCACACTGAGAATCCTTATGGCAAGTTAACATCAGGCCCTTGGCTGTCTGATTTCATCAGACACCCTCACTTCTCTCACTTCAAGCTACCCGCCTTGGCCAAACCTGCCTAAGGGCTCTGGGAAAGCACACATGCTCTATCAGCCACCTCCACCTCAAGCCACAGATGTTTGTTCATTCAAAATAAGCAACAGCCAACCTGTATGGTGTTTACTCTGTGGTAGGCACTCTGCAAAGCTCCTTATGTATATTAACTCAATCAGTCCTCAAACAGCCCTAGGTACCCTGCATCTGCTATGCATAGATGACAACAACCAGAGGGCAAAGACACAGAATAGTGTGTGTGCCCAAGGTTGCTTGTCATTTAGCGGTGGGATGAGACTGAAATCCAGTTCCCAGCTCTCTGTTATGTTAAGTTGTTATGCCTCTACCTGAGCCACAATTACTGGGTCCTGTGTGTCTGACAAGGAAGAAAATACAATCTCAGACCTACAGGAACCTCCACAGTGGTGAATAAATCAGATAAGTTAATAGATAAAGCAAAGTGAGAAGAGGCATCCAAATGAAATGCCATAGGTGTGCCCTTGGGGAACAAGGGAGTTTTTAAGGTGCTGAGGGGAAAGGTTGACTAGGGAAAGTGGGCAGGGGCTCCAGACTGGGGAGCAGGATATATGAAGACTGGTTGCTGAGAGCACATGATAAGTTTGGGGGACAGCAAGGGACACAGTATAGGAGAAACATGAAAGGGAGAATGAGGTGAGCAGAGGGTGATCTGAGAGTAACATACATCCACACTAAGGAGTAAGAGTTTTACTCTGAGGGCAATGAGAGCCCTTGAATTATGGAAAGCAGATCTGTATTTTAGATGAGTGATTCTGGCAGCAGATGGGAGGGCAGTTTGGAAGGAGGCAAGCTTAGGTTCAGAGACTGCAAGGGACACTCCTGTGATTGCCAGGGCAGAGGGAGTAGATATAGTTGGATGGGATTGATAGATATAAAGAAAAATGAGAGGTGGTCCGAGTTGCAGATGGACCAGTTATAGAAGAGAGGACCAATCAAGGGAAGGGGGGATCTTCTCGGGTATTTGCGGGGAGAATGTTGCCTTACACTAATAAAAAGAACATAAGAGGGGGGCGCCTGGGTGACTTAGTCGGTTGAGCGTCCGACTTTCGCTTAGGTCATGATCTCGCGGTTCGTGGGTTCGAGCCCCGCGTCGGGCTCTGTGCTGACTGCCAGCTCAGAGCCTGGAGCCTGTTTCCGAGTCTGTGTCTCCCTCTCTCTCTGGCCCTCCCCTCTTCACGCTGTCTCTCTCTCCTAGAAATAAATAAAATATATTAAAAAAAAAAAAAAGAACATAAGAGGAAGATGCTGTTTGGGGGAAAATGAGTTCAATTTGGGACATTTTGATTTTGAAGCTTTTGTGACACATGTAAATGGAACTGTCCCCTTGCAGTCTAGAGCAGGGGCAGAGGGACTAAGGGAACTTGATGAATTTAGGGGCCATCCGTGCTTGGTGCTAACCGAAGCCAGAAAAGTGGATGACCTCACAGGGGTGTGAGAACAGAGAAGAAAAGAGTGTCAAAAGAGTGTCCCTTAAAGCTCCTGTTAAGGGACAGGCAGAAAACAGGAGCCTGGAAAGATGATTGACAAAGGCTGGCCAAACCATAAGAGACCAATCAAGAATGCAATGTAAAGGAGGCCAAAAGAAAGACTGGTTGAAAAAGCAGGTAGTCAGTGGGGATAAAAAGTCTCAAGGTTATCAGTGACCAGAGGAGAGGGATGGAAGTCCAAGGATAGGAAGCTGATAAAGGTGCAGCAGTCAAGAAAGTGACTGCCAAGATGGGAGAGGACACTCTCAAGCTCTGTAGTGAAGGGGCGCATTGCCAGAGGAAGATTTTGAATCTGGGAGGGAAGATGCATGTCTTCTTTTCTTTGGAGACATCTTGATTGTTACTCTTAGACAACCTCCCTCCAGTGACTTCAGTCTCTTCTCTTCATTTCTCCTTCTCTCTTCAAACTTCATCCACCTGAACCTCCAGATTAGAATGTACACTGTGCCTGAAGTGTAGCAGACCTCTTCTGACTCCCAACTCTCCCACTTTCTAGTTGTAGAACTCTTACTCTTTGAGCTTCAGCCTCCTCACCTTCAAAATGAGGCTAAGAAAGCCTTATAGGACTGTTCTGAGTTGCAAGTGAAAGAATGTGTTCACTATACCTAGCAGGTGGTCAACCAAATGCCAGTTCTCTCTTCTACTAATTCTGTGACCTATTCAAATTTTTGTTTTTGCTTGTCCTCTTACACCTTAACTCCCTATACTACTTGGCTCACTGTTGTCATTTCTTTCTCACCTTCCTCTTTTTAATTTACAGTAAGAGCTGCCTTGCCCCATCCCCACCACCTCCTGAGAGCCCCCTCTGAATCATACATGATTAAGATAAAATCATCTGTTCCTGCTCAATAGCGGGTACTACTGCCGCTTCTCAAACTTCCTTCTCAGTTACTCTAGAATTTGTTCCTCATGTCTTGTCTGTGAAACATCCACTTCTCTGTTTTCTGTGGTCCTGGGTACTTGTGGTTTTCCATTTCATGATTGTTCAGTAATCCACTATTAGTTCTTCTTTACCCAATTGTGGACAATCACTGGAGCCCGCCATCATCTCAGCTCACCTCTCTCTCATCCCCCGAGAACTCAACCATGATGAAGACTTTACTCCATCTCTCTGCCTCTGACTCCCAGATGTCTTTGATATATGAAGATATCATATTTTCAGCTTATAGTTTGCAAAAAATTTATTTCTCAGTTATCTTATTTGCTTCACTTGGACTACCTTGTGAGAAAGGCTGAGTTGGTATTATCTCAATTTTATAACTAAAGGAAAAAAACTCTGAGACTAGAAAATTTTTAAGTGATTTTTTCCTGACTTCTAACCTAAGCAAGATTCCTACATTTCTAGTTGTCTCCAGGATAGCCTTATTTGGAGATCTGTCTCTACTTAAATCTTACTTGGGTTTCTCCTCTCTCTCAAACCAATCCCACTCAGCTGGACTGAATGTTCATGTGCTTCCAAAATTTATATGTTGAAGCCCCAGCCTCAAATGTGACTGTATCAGAGATAGGTCTTTTATGGAGTTAATTAAGGTTAAATGAGGGAAGGATGCTGATCCAATAGGACTAGTGTCCTTAGGACATGTGAGGACACAGTCAGATTGCAGTCACATAAAAGCCAGAAAGAAGGGCCTCAGAATAAAATCTACCTTGTCAGCACCTTGATCTTGGACTTCCAGCCCCTAGAACTGTGAGAAATAAATTTCTGTTATTTAAACCACCCATTCTGTGGTATTTTGTTATGGCAGCTTGAGCAGACCAATTTGGGTGGTGGCCATTTGGGGCATGTTTTCTTTCATTTTTCTTTCTTATATATTTCACATCCAATCAGTTGACAGAGTTACATCTACTATTTTTGTATGATATGCCTTGAATTCTATCCTTACTCTTCACATACAAAGTCACCACGGTAACCTTGGATTTTGTTAGCTGATGCTTAGAAACCGTTAGCATCTCCTGACCTGTATCTCGCTGCGAGATTAAACTACTGCAGAACCATAGGATTTGATGGTCCAGGTGAATTCACAGCCCCATCAGACCTCTCCCTCTCCTCCTCACATACATCTACGTCCTCACACTACATCACCATGGGTTTGTAGTTCTCCACAGCATGAAGATTCTACTTTAATAGCTATCCTGCGGTTCCCCACTCCCCCCATAATAATGCCCTTTCTTTTCTCTGCCAACTTTAGAGTGTAATTTGGATTTTAGCTCCCAGAACTACTGCATACTGTGGAATGGCAAATAGGACATTCTTTTTATAGTTGATGGAAATGTTCAGAGGAGGGAGTTGGCATAAGATCAGGGAGCCAAATCTGCCCCTTACAAGCTTGGGGATCTGGTACAAGTGATTTAGTGATTTATCTTCTCTGGGCCTCAGTTTCCTCATCTGTAAATGGCACAGTGAGTGCAAAGTATCTCACATAGTGTGAGCACTCAACAATGTTAACTATAATGATTAAACTTCGAAGTTGGGGCCCAGAGAAATTATTTAAAAGGTGAAAAGGCCCATGGGGCATGAGTCAAACTAGAAAAGCAAGGCTGAGAGATGATTTAATGATACAAAAAAAAAAAATAGTGCCTCTGCAGGGAGGAAGCAGTTGCAGAGAACTGGTTCTTTCATCACTGGCTTTGTGACCTTGGCAAGTAGCTTTATCTTCTGGTGCCTTAGTTCCTCCTCAGCAAAATGGGGGCAGTGATAACACTAGTCACTCCTCCACAGGGCTGCTGTGAGAAGGAAGTGGGATGATGGCAAAATGGCACACAGGCCAGGGCTGGGACGAGAGAAAGCACAATGTGGGAGTTCTTGTTACTGCAGAGGATCACAGACTGAGCCCCCGAAGTTGTGCACAGAGGATGCAACCCTCTGGATCAGAAGATTCCACAACATGTTTGTCCCTCAAAATCCCAGAGGCCCCAGAGTGCTGACAAGATATGTCTCCATGACTCCCAAACAGGGAAGTATCATTGAGTGCCTGATTCTTGAAATCCAAGACTTCTAACTTACTTACTTAGTTGAAACTAGGCCCCAATGTCATGGCAGGGCATGTAAAGCTTTGTATACTTTCTGGCCTCCTGGGAATAGGAGCTTGTGCTTTCAGATTTTTTCCAAAGGGATACAATAAATTAGGTTCTTGGAGACCAAAACAGAAATATGGACAAAAAGAATGGGGATAACAACATCTTTTGAATGAGGAACTGAGCTGGTCCCCAGGTTTCCAGAATAAATGGGAGCAGGAAGGTGCCTTTTTCTTGGAGTAAGCAGTTTGATTTTTTGTTTTGTTTTGTTTTGTTGTTTGTTTGGTTGTTGTTTGCTTGGTTTTTTTTTGAGCATTCTGCTCAAAAGGGATTGGAGCACAATCCCTCCTCCTCTGTCTCCCTGCAAAGTGCCTCAAAGTACCGTTACTTCACAAACTACAGGCTAATGCCCTTTCGCCTTCCAAATGCCATTTACTTCCCCATGCCTCATAGCTGACAAGTCAGCACCTTGACCGAGATCTGCTGTAAAGCAGTAAATGTAGAACAGTGTTTATGGCTCTGGAAGTTCCCTGAGGAGGAAATTCTCTAATTCACTTTCTCTGTATTATAGAGATTCTTCTTAACAGCTCTGGGGCCAGGGGAACTTTTCAGCCAGAGTCCTGGGACCTGATAATTCACCCTGAAGGATAATTGGAGTTTCTGCTCCGTGGCCTATGCAGAGTTTTATTGTCTAATTCTTGCCCTCTGGTTAGGACTTTACATTTGGAAGTTGCATCCTCCCGGGTCCCACAAACTTGTGCCTGAGTCACCTTGGAACTCAGTAGGCAGAAAATTCAATGTGCCGTTCATAGGATTGCTGTCGGCTTCTGGAGTGGCTTGAAACCTCTGAGGAAGGGTCTTTGGATCTGGCCTGTTTTCCATCTAGACCTGAGTGAGTCCTTGAAGCAAGGGTGGAGAGGCTTTCACAACAGGCAGAGGATCTCTGTGAGTGACCGAGTGCACTGAACACTTTCTCCCTTGTTATTGCCTAAACTAAGTGGCTTATTTTTATTTTTATTTTTTTATTTGAGAGAGAGAGCACATGAGCAAGGAAGAGAGGCAGAGGGAAAGGGAGAAAGAATCCCAAGCAGGCTCCATGCCATCATGGAGCTTGATGCGGGCTCGATTCCAAGACCCTGAGATCATGATCTGAGCAGAAATCAAGTCAGTTACTCACCCAACTGAGCCACCCAGGTGCCCCCTAAGTGGCTTATTTTATAATCAAACTTTCCACCACCCCCCCATCACCATCTCTCCTCAGATTATTCAGGAACCCATCAGGATACTGAATGAGGATACTGCGAATTGGTCAGTCTCCCTGACCTGCCTGCTGACTAAATTCCAGAATGTTCGGAGAAAGCTCGAAAACCCCCAAAATAAATTCTGAATTTCATTAATTTGATTTCCTATTTTAGCTCTAAAGACTAGGCACCTTATGAAGTTTCCTAATTAGAATATTTTCTTAAAATCATAGCAGTTGGATTGTCAAGTTTTCAGTGATTTTGGCCAACTGCTGATCCACATGTGCCCTTCCATTTGTATCTGCCTCTCTCTCCTTATAGCACCTTCCCTGACTCCTGTGAGCTCAAGGAAGTCACCAAAGCCTTCATGGTCTGGGCTTTTCCTAAAGCTGCTGGGCCCTCTTGAAATATGGACTGTTAGGCCTAGTTTGGGAGTGGGGCTGGACATGCAGCACACACTAGCTGTGGCCTCTTCTACTGAAAGGGGAACTTTGCTCAGACCACAGAATGTATGGTAAAATGACATCCCCACCACAAATGCACAGGGACAGAGGGAAGAGGCACTGTAAGAACATGTGTATTGCCAGAGCTGCCATTAGGGCCAAGATCTGTATGGATGAATAGTGACCGTTTGGAAAGTGCTAGTGTGGCCAAGATGTCAGATGTCAGATATCAGCATCAGGCTTACAGGTGAGCAATAGTTGCCTTTTTTTCTACCCTTTGCTGATATGCTTTTCTCCTCTGTTTGCTTGGCTGCTTTTCTCCTCTTGTTTATACATTCTCCTGTGAAGTTCCATTCTGGATAATTTTCCTGTGCAAAAAAGGTGGCTATGAATTTTGGACACTCTTGGGGATAATTGCCCCTTACAATTGGACTTTTTTCACAATTTCATTCTTTCTTGTCTATTTGGAGGGCAGAAATGCTTCCAGAGAATCATTTACCCCCAGGGACATAGCAGGAGCTGAGGCCTAGCAGAAGGTCAGCATCTCAGCATGTAAAGGGGCTTCTCTCTGCCCACAAGGGTGAGATGTGTGGCATTATCTCTGGCATCCTCATTACCACCTCTGTCTTTGCTTAATTTCCTTCTTTCATTCTCTACTATTCTCCCAAAGCTGGCTTTTCTTCAGTGTTCTTCCTAACCAGCAACACTCTACCACTACAACAAACGAAGACAAATTGAACACAAAGAAAACCAAACACGTAGGGACTACTCTGAGCTCCTTGAAGATATAACTTCATTTTTCAGCATTATTTTGACTAAGTGCTGTCTTTTTTCTGGCTTTTGTAACTTTTCTCAGCTCTTCTTTGTTAATAAAAATGTTAATAATATAATAATCCTATGACCAGATTATGGATTTAATTTTATAAAAATACCTGAACAAATTTTTGTCCCCAAATGCCTTTTGCATTGTCTCTGATTCTCCAGTCTTCAATTTGCAAAGACAGAATAAAGACAGAAGGTGAGCAAGTGTCATCTCAGAAGCCACTGCTCAACTCAGTCCAATAATTTCCTCTGGACTGTGTCAGCATTAGGGACTCTCTTGCCTATGACAGAAGTGACTACGGGCCATGACTCAGGAGCTCCCTCAAAGCCCACTCATTCAAAATTAAAACTCCCTCTCTTTCTCTTCCCTCCTACCGAGGCATCTCATATTCCACCGTTAAATTCACTTCTTAGAGCCAAGAAATTATTTACAAAGAGAGCTTGTTAAATGTCCTTTGTTTCCTGGAATGCTATAGAGGCATCGTGATATCATGGAAAAGCTTTAAATTGCAACAGGATCCAAATCCCGGCTCTACCCTCTGATAACTGTGTAAGCATTAGCAAGTACTCAACTTCTTGGAGTTATCCGGAAGACCAAAGGAGGCAACGCAGGTGAGCGCCTACAACCTAAAGCTGTACTGATCCTGGCACTTGTACGCAGTCAATGCATTATCGTGCCTAATGCAACTCTGTCTGTTGGGAAGGGAAGAAAAGCCTGAGAACTGTTTAGTATGCCAGGTGTAGGATACTTGTATAGGGTGGTAACAAACAAATAGACAAGGAGAGAGTGTTTTGATATGTATGGAAAACTGTAACCCAAGGTAACTGTCCAGGAAGGTGCCCTAGAAAGCTGCCAGTAGCATGGGAGCAGTGGGCATCTGAAACCAACGAGAAGAGGGCATGCAACAAAAAGCAGTCCATGGGCTTTCCTCCTCCCCCCGCCTGTCCTGCTGTCCAGTGTCTTCTCCAAGGCAGGCTTGGCCTCATTACCCTCCTGTCTCCACCAGCACCTTTTTCCATTACAGAGGAGCTGATGGCAGTCCCAGTACAGGCTGTCGTCTCTCACCTGCACAAGGGACACAGATTCCTGAACGGCTCCCTGCCTTCACTCTCGCTATTCTCAGCTCATTCTCCACACAGTGGCCAGTGACCTTTCCAAAAGACATATCTGACCACATTACTTTTCTGTTTACCACCATCACATCAGAATGAAGTTCAACTCCAGGCACATCACAATATGGATCTTGTCATCTAGCATATTCTCTCCACTCCTCTGCCCTAAGTTAAGTCCATTCCAGCCTCATGGAACTTATTTCAGTGCCCCCAACACACCTGGCTCTCTCTCACCTGTTCACTTAGAGCACCAGCTCATCACCTGGCCATCTTTTACCCAATCTCAGGCTTCTTTATTATATCCTTTCTTCCAGGAAAAGCCTTCTCTGCTCCCTCCCGGTCTTGGCTGGCTGCTGCCCCACCTGGCCCTGCTGCCCCATGGGCTTCCTGTCCCAGCACCTACCCCATAGCTTCTGTCTACCCCCACTCACCAGACTGGTCACCAGCAATGGCAGGAGGAAGTCTCATGCTGTACCTCAGGCCCTAACACAGCTTGTGGCACATAAACATGCTCAAATAATTGACCGCTGAATGAGCTAATGAAGGTAATATCCACCTCACTCATTTTATGTCTCACAATAAATCTCTTCTAAGGAAAAAAATTCCCAGTGGTCTTTTGCAACAAAATGACATTTGCGCATTTTTCCTCACCAATTTTCTGCTTCTGAAATTCAGATTTAGGTTCTGGGGACAGGGATACAGAGTCAGTGGCAGGGGCGCAGGAGAGTATTGTCAGAAAAGACCCAAATAGTGCTCTGTTCTAAACACTGTAGAAAAGGACACTATATCTTTGAGGCTTGACAGTAGTTTTTCTCACTTTGTGCCACGTTCCTGGTAGGGATTTGTGTCTGGCAGGAAAACTGCCTTTAATTCTCTCAGAGAATTTCCAAGAAACCAAAGTTATCATTGAAGTAAAACTCAAAATACAACGAAACCAACATCCGTTAAAGAATCTGCAATGCCCCCATGTACTATGTAGACCATTGTGTGTTCTGTACTATATGTGCAAACGGGGTAAAAAGCCGTCTGTACAGCCTCACAGGACACTTACACGGGAAATTGTTTTTCCTTTATGATTAAAAAAAAAAAACTCTTGTTTTTATAATGTACACATAAAGGTTTGTGTACTGGATCCTTTTAAATTCTTCCAGCTTAATGAGTCTTTAAACCCCTGGAACAAAGAGGTTGTGCTCCGCCCTGCCCCCACCACTTTCCCTCCACTTGATTCTTCTATCCCCACCCCCACCCCTGACCTGTCCTCCCTCCCCTCCCCTCTCTTTTTCCTTCTGGTTCTTCTCCAAATCTCCTTCCCCCTTTCCTCAAAACCTCTTTTCAAAACACCAGAGGTACAAAAAGTTTTCTTTCCTGACCCTGGCCCTTCTCAAGGACCTTTCCAACTTTTGGGATGCTTTGGTTCCCACTCACTGTTCCAGCTTCTGTTACTTCCCTTGTCAAAGGCATCAGCCCCCACTGCCAAGTTATCTATCCAATAGGAGAAGTTTTCCTTTAAATACTCTCAAACATTGTACCATTTTCTCCATGGGTCAGTTAATATAAAGAGGTTAATAGGTTCAACAGAGATAAACATAAGCTGTTAGTTAAACTCCACATTCATTGAGGAATTAATTTATTTATGCCTTCCCATCTATTCTTAAACTTTTTTCAATGTTCATTTATTTTTTGAGAGAGACAGAGAGCTCAAGCGGGGGAGGGATAGAGAGAGGGAGACAGAATCAGAAGCAGGCTTGGCACTGTTAGCACAAGGCCCAATGTGGGGCTCAAACTCACATGACCGTGAGATCATGACCTGAGCCAAAGTCAAATAAATGCTCAACCGACTGAGCTACCCAGGCACCCCTAACCTCCCATCTATTCTTAACGGAGCCCATGTACTAGGTTTTCTGCAAGGACTCCATCCTCAGGCATTCTTGGTCAGTAGAAGGGTTGAGATCTGCAGATAAGTAACTCCAGTACAAAGAAGGCAGTGGTCAGTGCCCCCAGAAAATCACAGATATGGTCCTGGAGGTTCTGACTTAAATTTAATAAGGTGCAACAGCAAAGCTGAGCAACCCAGACAAATGTTTGCCTTTCTCTCTTTGGCTGCTGCATTAAGGAGAGCCCACTGGGTAACTGTACAAGCTCTTGTTAGGCTTTTATCTTCCAGGCTTAGCCTTGGAGGAATAATGTGCCTTCCAAGTCTGGTGTGTAAGACAAACTTGAAAAATGGGAGTCCCGGAGTCTGGAATACACGTGAGATACTAAAAGTGCCCAGGGTGATCCTGACACAGAGCAATGAGTACATTGCAAAAATATGTTATTTTTCTTCTAGAACAGGTGTTATTTATGTTGTCTTGTACCCCTTATGACTTCAGGAGGGGAGGAAGGCAGAATACTAACAGATGCTGTTTAATTTGGATTCATTTGGAACATTCTGGAGCCCTAACCTCTCTCTTTTAACCAATGCACTGGAAACAAATCCATCTCTTTAAAGGATTAGTAAATTGAAATTCATAAACAGATTCTCATCTCAAGAGTTTATGTGGGTGAGGTGGATGATAGAAATTTCTAGAGGTTTTGCTCATTTTATGTTTCTCACAAATTATTTTGGCATTATTAATATAGTATTAAAAGAAAGATCTGGGTGGCTTGCCTGAAATTGTATCTCTCCTTTCCTTAATACTTACTGATCTCAGGCATGGGTCAGAGACAGGAAAATATTTCAAATGACCTATGTCAGCTTTTAGTATGCTGGCCACCCATTAGAACAACCTGGGAAATTTTTGAAAAACAAAACAAAACAAGACTACTACAGATGACTGGCTTGTCTCTAAAAGCTAAGTTTCAGTTATTCTAAGGATACTTTTTAATTTCCTCAGAATCCGGTGATTCTGGCTGAATGCACAGCTAAACCACTGACTCAGGCCCTAAAGAGGTAATAAACAGGTTATATACATATGCTGTCTCACACATACCCTCTCTCTCTCTCATTCTACCTTCAAGTAAAACCACTGACACATACATTCTCAAATTTAACTTCCTCTCCCCCAATATATAGCCTCACCTCCGAATGGGAAAAAAATACATTTTACATAATAAAATGACCCAGTCACAGAGTACCTGGGTGGCTCAGCTGGTTAAGCATCCGACTTCAGCACATGTCATGATTTCACAGTTTGTGAATTCAAGCCCCACATGGGCTCTCTGCTGTCAGCACAGAGGCCACTTTGGACCCTGTGTCTCCCTGTCTCTCTGCCTCTCTCTCTCTGTCTCTCTCTCTCTCAAAAAATAAACATTTAAAAAAGTCTCAGTCTATGAAAAATAAGAAAGATGTTATATGGCCAAAAGCAGGGGAATGCTTGAGTGAGGTGTGATAAATCACCTCAATGCAACAATATCCAGCAATTTAAAATTACCATTATGAAGAATTTACAGCAATGTAGAAACAATTTATCCTCTAATGGAAAAACATGATCATCAAGTAATCCATACTGTATGGGCACAACAGTGGAGATCAAACTAAAAAATATGCAGACATGCAAAAAAAGAATGAAAAGAAATATCCCCCAAAATGTCAATAAAAACTAGCTCAGCGGTGGTTTTTGCTTCCTTCTACTTTTCTGTACTTTCCCAACATCTTTTAAACTGCTACATATATGGTAGAAAAAAATTTACGTTAGAACAAAATTAACATACTGTTCAAAAGTCATTCTTCTGACTATGAAGTGATAAGCAAGGTCTAATTCTCAATAATGAATTAACAAGGCAAAGATGAAAATGCTCACCCAGTTTCTGTGCTTCTTCTGGCTTTGCTTCTGTCTTCTCTATTCCTCTCGCCTTCCTCCTCCAAGTAATCCAGCTTGTTTAAAGGAAAAGTGAAAGAGTAAATTTAGTTTATAAACAGTTTCAGCTCACAGCAAGAGGATAAGGAACTTTGGTCAGCTGGTCTATCTATGCTTTATAGAGCTTGGTGTGGGTGTTGGCTGGCTTCCTTCTCAAGAAGAAGGGGGAAATATTTCCGTTAGGGACTACCTCTAAAAGGAAGAAACCTTAGCCCTGTCCTTCTAACACTGGTTTTATCAGCATCTTTCCCAACAGATCCTGGGAATGTGATGAGTTAGAGTTACGAGTATTAGGTGGCTATTGGTTCTCCTAAATGGTTTTTGTTTCCGTGACAACACTAACATCAATGCCACCTCATAGGCCTTATAGGTATAGCACTTTATATTTGTTTAGAGCACTTCCCATCACACACTTACTTTTCCAACTTCCTTGCAGATGGGCGGAGGCCTTCCCAATTCTGCAGCAAATTCTGTGTCGGAGATCACCAATGACCTCATTGCTCATGTAAAAAAGGTCCTTGCTCAGTCCTCATCTACCTTCCCCAATTAGTTGCAAAATTAATCAAAGCCACTTTCTTGAAACTTTCTCCTTATTGTTTCTCTGACTCTCCTTGTTCTTTTTCTACCCCTTGGGTTGCTTCTTTATTACCTTACTTTCTGATGCCTTTTCTTCTATCCCTTTTTTAAATGTGAGCTTGCCCCAAAAGTCTGTTTCCTGAACTCTTCCTATCATATTCTCTTGCTTTTATCTATGTTGTCCACATTGATGGCCATATTTAATATGGTCTCTCCTAAGCATACACTCCTCCAACTATCCCATAAATGGCAGCACAATGGTTCATCCAATTTTTCTTTCTTTTTTTAAAATAGTTTATTGTCAGGTTGGTTTCCATTTAACACCCAGTGCTCATCCCCACAAGAGCCCTCCATGCCCATCAATCCCCTTTCCCTCTCCCCCACCCCCATCAGCCCTCAGTTTGTTCTCAGCATTCAAGAGTCTCTCATGGTTTGCCTCCCTCCCTCTCCCGCACTATTTTACCCCTTCTTCTCCCCCATGGTCCTCTGTTAAGTTCCTCCTAATCTTCTTATACATGCACACATATGGTATCTGTCCTTCTCTGCCTGACTTATTTCACTCAGCATAACACCCTCAAGGTCCATCCATGTTGCTACACATGACCAGATTTCATTCTTTCTCATTGCCATGTAGTATTCCATTGTATAGATAAACCACATCTTCTTGATCCATTTGTCCGTTGATGGACACTTAGGCTCTTTCCATGTTTTGGCTATTGTGGAGAGTGCTGCTATGAACATTGGGTACATGTGCCACTATGCATCAGCACTCCTGTATCCCTTGGGTAAATTCCTAGCAGTGCTATTGCTGAGTTCTACTGTTAATTTTTTGAGGAACCTCCACACTGTTTTCCAGAGGGGCTGCACCAGTTTACATCCCCACCAACAGTGTAGGAAGGTGCTCGTTTCTCCACATCCTCACCAGCATCTAGAGTCCTCTGATTTGCTCATTTTAGCCACTCTGACTGGCATGAGGTGGTATCTCAGTGTGGTTTTGATTTGTATTTCCCTGATGAGGAGGGATGCTGAGCATGTGTTTCATGTGTCTGTTGGCCATCTGGATGTCCTCTTGGGAGAAGTGTCTGTTCATATCTTCTACCCATTTCTTCACTGGATTGTTTGTTTTTCGGGTATGGAGTTTGGTGAATGCCATTTCTTCACTGGATTGTTTGTTTTTCGGGTATGGAGTTTGGTGAATGCCTTATATGGAATTTTGAATACTAGCCCTCTATCTGATATGTCATTTGAAACTATCTTTTCCCATTCTGTCGGTTGCCTGTTAGTTTTATGGATTGTTTCTTTTGCCATGCAGAGACTTTTAATCTTGATGAGGTCCCAATAGTTCATTTTTGCTCTTGATTCCCTTGCCTTTGAGGATGTGTCCAGTAAGAAATTGCTGCGGTTGAGGTCAAGGAGGTTGTTTCCTGCTTTCTCCTCCAGGGTTTTGATGGTTTCCTGTCTCACATTCAGGTCCTTCATCCATTTTGAGTTTAGTTTTGTGTATGGTGTAAGAAAGTGGTCTAGTTTCATTCTTCGGCATGTTGCTGTCCTGTTCTCCCAGCACCATCTGTTAAAGAGGCTGTCTTTTTTCCATTGGATACTCTTTCCTGCTTTGTCAAAGATTAGTTGGCTGTACATTTTTGGGTCCAATTCTGAGTTCTCAATATATTCTATTCCATTGGTCTATGTGTCTGTTTTTGTGCCAATACCATACTGTCTTGATGATGACAGCTTTGTAGTAGAGGCTAAAGTCTGGGATGGTGATGCCTCCCATTTTGTTTTCTTCTTCAATATTACTTTAAGGCTATTTGAGGTCTTTTGTGGTTCAAATTTTAGGATAGTTTGTTCTAGTTTTGAGAAGAATGCTGGTGCAATTTTGATTAGGATTGCATTGAAAGTGTAGATTGCTTTGGGTAGGTAATGACATTTTAACTATATTTATTCTTCCAATCCATGAGCATGGAATGTTTTTCCATTTCTTTGTGTCCTCTTCAATTTCCTTCATAAGTTTTCTATAGTTTTAATCATATAGTTTTCTTATTTCTTTGCTTAGGTTAATTCCTAGGTATTTTATGGTTTTTTGTGCAATTTTGAATAGGATCAGTTTCTTGATTTCTCTTTCTGTTGCTTCATTGTTCTGTACGTTGATTTTGTACCCTGCAACTTTGCTGAATTCATGGATCAGTTCTAGTAGGCTTCTGGTGGAGTCTGTCAGGTTTTCTATGTAGAGTATCATGTCGTCTGTGAAAAGTGAAAGTTTGACTTCTTCTTTGCCAATTCTGATGCCTTTTATTTCCTTTTGTTGTCTGATGGCTGATGCTAGGACTTCCAGCACTATGTTAAACAACAGTGGTGAAGGTGGACATCCCTGTCGTGTTCCTGATCTCAGGGGGAAAGCTCTCCGTTTTTCCCCATTGAGGATGATGTTAGCTGAGGGCTTCTCATAGATGACTTTTATGATGTTTAAGTAGTTCCTTTTATCCCGAGTTTCTCGAGGGTCTTTATAAGAAGGGATGCTGGGGCGCCTGGGTGGCTTGGTCGGTTGCGCTTCCGACTTCGCTTGGGTCATGATCTCGCGGTTCGTGAGTTCGAGCCCCGCGTCGGGCTCTGTGCTGACTGCCAGCTCGGAGCCTGGAGCCTATTTCAGAGTCTGTGTCTCCCTCTCTCTCTGACCCTCCCCTGCTCATGCTGTCTCTCTCTCTCCTAGAAATAAATAGAACATTTAAAAA